TACAAGTATGTCAGCTTCACATATTTGTTTTTGAGGAGGGAAATCTTCAGGATTAGTTTTAACAGGAAATTGGGAATCCTAGATTCATATGGTAAGGAAGCTGAATATTACATAACAAGTTTGTTATGTAATATTACATAACCCCTAGTCCTTTTTTTGTAAGGATCATCTTCTTACAGAATAACAAAGTTGGAAGGGGCCTTGGAGATCTTCTTATGCAACCCCTTGCTCACTCAGGAGACCTTATACCATTTTAGTCACATGGTTGTCCAGTCCCTTGTTAAAAGCTTCCAGTGTTAGAGCACCCAGAATTTCTGAAGGCAAATTGTTCCACTGGTTGATTGTTCTTACTGTCAGGAAATTTCTCCTTAGTTATAGGCTGCTTCTCTCTTTGTTCAGTTTTTATCCATTGCTTCTTGTCTTGCCTTCTGGTGTTTTGGGGAATAATAGGTTGACCCCTTCTTCTTTATGGCAGGACTTCAAACATTGGAACACTAATATCATGTCCCCCCCCCCAGTTCTTCATTTCACTAGACTAGACATGCCCAATTCCTGCAACCGTTCTTCACATATTTTAACCTTCTGTCCCCCAATCATCTTTGTTGCTCTTCTCTGCACTCTTTCCAGAGTCTCAACATCTTTTTGAAATTGTGGTGACCAAGATTGGATACAGTATTCCAAGAGTGGTCTTATCAAGGCATTATAAAGCGGTAGTATCATTTCTTGTGATCTTGATTCTATTACATTCAGAATAATAGAATCTTGATTCTATTAGATTCAGCATAATTTTCTCTTTGGATAAGTACAGTACTTCCAAACCACAGAGAACAAAAACCACAATTTATATCTATTTTATACCATAGTTTCAGTTTGCCAATTTTATGGATTTCAAATACTTTTGCTTTATTTTTGTATTTAACTTTTTATAAAGGTGGCCACTATAAATTATAACTTGAAAATAAAAAAATAATCATTTCAAGCATCAAACAGCTACCCTTAAAATAATATAAAATAAATTGATTAGCTGGCACAACATTCCACTATTAAAGAATAACCAAGAATCAAGAATATTAAAAATATCTCTTAGTTTGAGAAAAGGGGTAAGGAATGGAAATTAAATGTAACAAAATAGAATAGGACTTACTTTGCTCTAGGTTGATGTACTAATCCTGGAAGCTCTTTATTAGCCTTAAGTTTTACATGTGAACTGGCACTTTTTTCCTGGAAAAAAAAGATACATATTCACAAGTTGATGAGGGTTGGTTTTACTATAGGGAATATTTGCCATCAGACTCGATTGAATCATGAAGAATACATGTAAAAATATAAGAGTTTAAACGTGAAAAGGCAGTCAAGTTTAAATGATAATCTGTGACAAACCAGTCACAGATCAACCTCCTATTTGAACACCCAAGTCAAAGTATTGTGTTAAGCTTATTCTCCTTTTCATAGAATCTAAACAATTTGAACAATTTGAACAATAACACATCTATTACATAGTATGTATAGTGGTGCTTAAAAGTTTGTGATGCCCTTTGAATTTTCAATATTTCTGCATAAATAAATTTTCAATATTTCTGCATAAAATGACTGTTCTCCTGTCCTCCACCCAGATCCTCAACCTACATAAAAAGAACCCAATTCAACAAATAACTGAAAAACATTGTATTTGTTCATTTATTTATTGAGGAAAATTATCCAAAATGACCAGGAAGCTTGAATAATGTAGTCGTGCTTCCTTGTGAAAACAAAAGCACAATATTTAATAAAACAGACCTAAGGTATCTGAGAGCCATAAGCTCTTTATTTCCATTATCTATTTTTTTAAACATCAAGACACTTTCTGCTGCTGCATTCAATCAATGAATCCCATACAACCATACAAATTTTTCAGTCCTAAAGCATCTTGACTACCTGGAGATAGAAGCTGAATAGGGAAGCCATTAATAAAGAATTTTGCAGCTGGTGAGATAATTTTATTTGTAAGCTCTCTGTTAATGCCTGATATTTCTTAGGGCTGCAAAATCATATACTGCAAATAAGAGACTGAGGGACAGATAAGCAACAGTACGAGTAGATTTTCATTCAAAGCTATCAGTCTTACCAGACCTTTTCACTCATTCTTCAGAAGCACAATGTAAAGCCTCAGAATAAAGCATGCCAAGAGCAACCCATCTCTTATGTTCGTTTGATCCCAGGGCACTTGGGATTGTCATTTCTGGGCAGGCTTTTTATTTTTATGCTTATAAACATGAGAGATAGACAGTAATCTCAAGTCAACAGAGGTGGGGAGTGAGTGCTAATGAAATTGAATGGAGCACTAGGACAACAGTCTGCAAAACTAGGGTTTTAAAATCAGCATCTAGTTCCACAAATCAATGTTTGTTTGTTCTTCATTATCTCATGTGATCCATACCATTTCGTACCACCATCCTCATGTGGAGTTACAGTTGACAGAAAATAAAAACAAAATGAAAAAATACATGTCAATTTGACTGTGACTGTATTGGCATGGTTCCGTAACTGGGACAGCACTGTTAGACTCATTTTTTTATTTTTCTTTTTTTTTTTCATTTTATTTTTCTTAATTTTTTATTAGTTTTTATCTTTTTAATCTTTATATTTAATAAAATTACTATTTAAAAAAAAAACAAAACCTGAAATCCCAGGAGTTACAAAACCAACAGATCTGGATCTGATAGTCTAGGAAAGGCTTAAAATGTTTATTGTACCCTTACAAAAGAAGAAGAAGAGAACGTCAGCGCTAAGTCTGTAGCAAAGTTTCTGGATCAGGTCAGGCCAGAGAGGTTCAGATCTGGCACTGTAACAAACAGGATCCCTGCTGGCCTTACTTGACCTGATCAGCTTAATTTTTTTGACATCTCTAAGCCACCGTTTGAAATATTAGGTATGCTAGACATGTATACATTAAGTCTACTCCTCTCAGTACTGAGGGCTTTTCCTTTCTGAAAAGACTTGATGAGCTAACAGAGATTGACACTACAGTGTTCTTCTCTCAAGCTATAATGACATATCCTTTCCTGATTTGACTTCTGTAAATTCTTTCTTTGCAGACTCACTGGGATTTTGCCAACTATCTATTGTTCTACACTACCACAGGAACAACCTAACCTTTGGCCAATATTTTCTGGAAATAAAATCATGGAAGTTGAGTTTTCAAGCAAGTTCATTTTCCTTTCTTCTTAATAAGAGTCTTTTCTTGATACTTTGCGAAGGTACACAGACTGCCTGGAACTTGCCCAGAGGTCAAGTAATCTGCAATATATCCTATAATCTATTTTGAAATCCCCTGAAATGGCTTGAAACAAGTGACTCTTTGAACAGCTCCAAAATCTGCCTTTGGGCTTTGCTTACAACCAGCATAGCTAACCTTTGCTTTTCTTTAACAACCAGAGCATTGGGCAATCTGCCTACCCTCTCATCTTCACCAGGCAGCATGGAAAGGCATTTTGTCCCTCGGTTAAAATGACATTGGCTTTCATGCCTTGTAAGTAGGATAAATATGATGTAGACTGTATTACATTTCTTCTACACAGCATAATCTCTGAGTTACTCTAAAATAGTCATTTCCTTTTTAATTACAATACCATAAAGTGGGATTCATTAAGCAGTTGCCCCATTCTTTTGTGCCTGTGAGCAGATGTTGTGGACCCTCCCCCATAATGATTGCTGGATAGTTTTCTCATTCACTAAGGGCAGCCATGAGGGACACAACTATTTATAAAGCAGTGATGATACAGAGTGCTTTCTATCATCTTCTCTAGTTCCTTAGCCTCTCCTTACTTTTGATCTTTTTCTGTACAAGTAGACATATTTCCAAACAAAGAAATATGCTGTAGCTACCAATTATTTTTATTTTCTGAGAAACAATTATGAGTCCCATGAAGGTCCCAAAGGCATGCTTTGATATAAAGATAATGCAGAAGGCTGGTGCTTTCCTTCAACATTTTTTAAAAAAATGAAACAATAAAAAGGTAAGAGAAAAGCAGGTGTCATGGTTCCGACAGATGAAACTCTTCAAAGAACTTTGAGGCATTGTTTACCTTAAAGAATCTTTATTTGAGTAGCATAGCATCGGCACTAACACAGTTGAAGCCAAAAACTGGATTCCCCTCCCCTGAGCATAGTATCAAAGCACAATGCCCTCCTCCAATTAACAGTCATAAATCACATTCTCCAATTAGTTTGAAATGCAGGCTCTCCCTCCAGTTCTCCAGCCTGCCAATTCTTATCATCTCTTATTTCATTAACCTTGGTTCACACATTAAGTCCAATACTATTATGTCTATCTAAACTCTCATGCACATTCCTCCCCCCCCAGCATCATCTAACTCTAAAAGTAAAACATAAGAAGAAAATGGTTGCATCTCTAACTGTTGTCAAAGCAAAAACATCCAATGTTAGCAGCATTGACAGCAGGACTGTAAGAAAAGTGGCTTCCTTGGGTATCATGTTGGAGAGCCTAGTTCACTGATGGCGAACCTTTTAGAGACCGAGTGCCCAAACCACAACCCAAAACCCATTTATTTATCGCAAAGTGCCAGGGCTGCATCAGCATTGAGGTGTCCTCGGGGGGGCGGGAAGGGAGGCGCCTCTGAGTGCCGCCTCTGGCACGCAAAAACAGGGGGCGCAGAAAATGGACCACTGTGCTGCAAGGCGCAAAAACGGCCGCCACCGCACTGCGGGGTGTAGATATAAGGCACTGCATCATGCAAGAATGGGGCAGGGCTATTGAGTATCACGCAGGTACTAGCCCCGTTCCATTGCAGTACAAAATGCTTCCCCCTCCCTTTTCTTCCAGTCCAGCAATGGTTGGTGACCTCTGCTCTACCACCTCTACTCGAGCTTGCTAGTCAGCCGCTTCGCCTCCTTTGTGCTGGGTGGGGCTCCTGCTCCGGGCGGCGGTGGTGGCCTGATGCACCTGCTGCTGGCGGTGGTGTGCGTGCCAACAGAGAGGGCTCTGAGTGCCACCTCTGGCACCGTGCCATAGGTTCGCCACCACTGGCCTAGTTCATAAGCCTCTTTATGCCATAGTTAGTAGATGAAGGAATAAGCATACAGGAGAATTGATAAAGAAGGTACATTTACTTTGGAGAAGTTCCCTTTCTGTTTTGACCCAAACTGCCCCATTCACAGATCCCAGATATTGTACAAAATTCCTGTTCATTAAGCCCACTTTATATAATTAATGAAACAAGAGATAATTCAGTTTGGAGAAACTGAGACATCAGAGCTGATGCTCACATAAATCTAATGGAGGCCAGAATGTTTGCAACGTTGTAGAATTTTGAATCTTGTAGGGAATGTCACTGCTGATGAGTAACATAGGTTAATTTTTTTTTAGAATATTTTTTTTAGAATACAGAATACCAGAGTTGGGGTCATCTAGTCCAATACCCTGCTTTAGCAGGAAGCCCTACACCATTGGGGATAAATGACTGTCTAAGCTGTTCTTAAAAACCTCCAGTGATGGAGCACCCATAATTTCATGGAGGCAAGCCATTCCATTGATTAACTGTTCTATCCTTAATTCCCCTTAATTCTAGGCAGGATCTCTCTTTGATAATTGTTGTAATTCCATTGTTACTTCTTGTTCTTTCCTTTGGTCCTTTGGAGAATAGGTTGACCCCCCTCCCGTCTTCTCTGTGAAAGCCCCTCAAATATTGGAAGACTCTTATCATGTCACCCCAGTCCTCTTTTTTACACTAGACATACCCAGTTCCCGCAATTCTGTTAACATGATTTTTAGAAAGAATCAACCCTGTTCAGCTTCAGGCCTAGCTTTATAATGATTCCCAACAATAAAATGTCTAAAATTTAGGTAATGTATCTGTTTTGCAAATATCTCTATCTATTTTCCAGCTTGGCACAGACTACTATTGTATATATTATGTGCTGACAACAGTCCTAAATAACTATCTGTACCAGGTGCAATAAATTGTGCAGTATATTAGTATTGGACACAAGGGGCCGAAGATAAAATCTTATTCCAGATAAAGATTATTAGACGGTATTAAGCAAGTTGCAACTCTCATCCTAATGTACCTCAAAGACTATGAATTGATACCAATTTGTCTTTTTAAGTAGATTGGGGAGAAAAGGTTGGCAGAAGAAAATTGGTACAGCTAGTGATCAAGTTTATCCAGGGAGAAGCAGGCATGATACCATATTGTTCTGCACTGTTTTTAAAAAGCAACAAC